AAAATGTGGAAAATGCTTCCTTGTCTTTTAGACTGAAAATTCACCATGCTGAATGAATTTTTATAGGGCATATACTTGTTCATGACCTCCAGTGTTAAGAAATTCTGTCATGTTTGAAAACTAGTCCCTAGTGGAGCCTGTATCCCTGTTAATAGCTGAAAGGTCAATGGAGCTGCTAAACAGTTTGTATCACTGTCAGGGTGGCCGTGAAAACACCACCTGCTGCAAGAGGACTTGGCAGCTGGGTCAACAGGCACTGTGGGAATTTATCAACTTAGGGGGCCACTTGCATAAAACTCTGACTGATGAATTGGGACTAGACTGGCTTATTGGGCTAAAGCTGCTCTATTATGTATGACTTTCTTTCGGATGGCAGAGCTGCCTGCCGGCTCGCTGAGACATATGCAGAGGATAAACAGAACCGACTTCCCCTTATGAAGTGATTTTCTAAAAAAAGCACTCTTTAGCATCCAGTATAATAAGCGGTAGGATGAAGATATTAAGAAGTAAACAAACAAACGGCAGTCAGTGGGTCCGTGAGTCAGGGGGGCGGGTAGGAGGCATGAGGGGCAGTTTTTGATATTGGTCACAGAGGAGTTTGGGGATACAACATTACCACATTTCTGTAAAATAAAATTCTCAAGCCTAGAATTTGAGGTATTAACTTACAGACCTCGTCAGGGAATGGTCTCTGTGATTTGATTGGGTAACAGATAAGCAATATGTTAAAATACAGAAAGAGTGGGCACAGTGTAATTAAATCAGCATAATTAAGAATAATTTTCTTTTTTCACATTCCTGGAGAAATAATCCTGGAAACTGAAAGAAAAAAAAATTTGCTTTAAGGTCATCTGAAACAAAAATTAAAGAATCTTTGTCAACAGTGTGAAATATTTGTGTTCTACAAAAATAAAGCTTGGAAGTTACATCATGCTGTCAGAATTTAATTTCTATCCTCTGGAAGCATTTGTTTACTTCTGAAAAAATCTAATAAAGAGCAAGCATCTGAGGCATGACACGGGCATTTAAAAACTAGGTATGAATGACTCTTTAAAGTTTCATGGAGACCCTTACCCTAATTTTAGTACTAAGAGCATCTTAAAAGTTGAGAAATAATTCTTGAATGTATGAAATGAACACCAACAAAACTATGCAGTTTAACATTTTAAATATATTCTTTAAATGTATCTTATGTATTAACTGATTTTCACAGTCCTCCGTAGAAATTAGGCAGGGACAGAATGATCATCTGCACTTCATAGGTGGGCTAAGGAGGAACAGCAAGGTGCAATGACTTATCCGGGGTCACACAATAAGGAAGACCGAGACCAGACCAATTGACTCCATGTCCTGCTAGGATAGACTCATACCAAGTTGTTGACTAGTCTTAGATGCACTCCCAGTGAAACTAAACTTACTGTCCAGCTTTTGTGCTCAGTATATTTAAATCTGTTGTCTGGAACTGCTGGCTGAAGGAGCTCCCCAGACCAGGTCATGCAGAACCCAGTTCTAGAGGTTTTTTGGGTCCCTGTGAGTTGGCTGTGGAGTCCTTAAGTGGTGCAAATGATTAACACACTTGGCTGCTAACCCCAAAGTTGGAGGTTCAAGTATATTGAGAAGGGTCTTGGAAGAAAGGCCTGGCAATCTACTTCTGAAAAATCAGTCACTGAAAACCCAGTGGAGCATAGTTCTATTTTGACACATATGGGGCCGCCATGAGTCAGAATCAACTTAACATGGCAACTAGTTTTAACAACTGGAGTTGGCTGAGCCAGCTGGGTGTTGGGTATTGCTTCGAACTCCACTTTGCCAGGAGCTGCGCCTGCTCTACCCCTGAAGCTATTCTGGAAGTGTGTTCAATGTCCTAACATGGAGGCAAAATTCATTTCTTTTCTGCTTTCCTAGCAATATTTTTTTCTTAAATAACTCCTGAGTTCTAGTTAAGCCTTAGGGATACCTGGCTGTATTCTTTTTTTTTAATTTTCAATTTTTTTTTCATTATAAATAGTGGCATTTGATTTTTATAACGGGCTTTTTGGCCATCCTTTGAGAAGGTTGCCCTATGAAAATGATTTGAAACCAATTTCTTACAGCCTTAGAACAAATTGTCCTGACAGACTGAGGTGGTACTACCAGAACCTCATCTGCTTTTGCCTGAATGACTTGAGATATTGCATACATTTTCTAAACTCCCTCATCATTTTGTGTGTGTGTATACTTGTGTATGCAAGGAAAAATAGAAAGAAAGAACATAAACCATCTAGTTCGAATGTAAAGTCTATGACATGTAATATAGAATATAAAATTTTATAATGTTATTCTCTTTCAGGGTCACAAATCAACTGATGTTCCAAAGTTATTCTGAAAACATTATTCTAACAACTCTGGGTTCTCTACAAAAATACAATTAACCTAAGAGTTTAATTTGAGTTAGATTTTTGATATAACAAGAAATGTCTATATATATATATTTTTTTTTAGTTGATGAGGCTCTGCCTTCAAATTCTCCCTCAAGTTTTAGAAAAACAGTTTTGCTCTGAAGCAGACATCCTGAACACTACTATGCTAGTAATTAGCTAGTGCTTCCACAATAATCCTGTTCACATGCTAAAGTATCTGCGTATATAGAAATTCAACTCATCTAGGGAGAAATCTATAATAATAAACGTTGGCATCCAAATCGAAACAGCATGAGGCTCCCAACAAATGTTTATGAAAACATTTGTTTTCTTATACTCAGTTTAATTTTGAAATTTATGCCTACGCCTATGTACAAGGATAGTGTCTTTGGGCCTCTGTTACTCCCCCCACCTCCCAAAAGCAAACACAAATCTTAACCCTGGCCCCACACATGACATGACTCACCAGAATACTGAGACGTCAGGCCTTTCAGGTATGTCACTCAGAGACCACCCTACTAGAGGAGGCCCTAAGATCACAAAGCCAAGGTCCCTTACGGCAACCCTGGTAATTAGATACTAATAGTGGATTGAAGGTGTAAAATTCACCTCAGCTCACCCACCAACAGACTAAGCAATCCAAATGAAGGGAGAATGATTTCTGTGGAGAGGAGGGAGACTTCATGATAATACTACCAGGAAGCTTGCAAAAGGGTTTCATAACTTCGACAAACATAATGGAATAACAGTGAGTGTTTTGAAACCAATTCCATTAGATATGAGTAAAATCCCTAGACATCATTATGAATCATTAGAATGCTAGTTTGTGAATTAACATTAGCTTGATTTTTGTTCTTAATATTGCCAACTTCAACAATCACCTAAGTGTCTTATTTTTTATTTATTTTTTTCATTTATTCGAACGAGGACATTGCTTTCACACTCAAGGGGAAAATTCCCCTGCTGTGTACAGTATACAGATGTGTACCTCTCGTCGTGAAATAAAAGGTGTACTGTTCAATAGAGAAGGAATGCTATCAGTGTGTGACAGATGAGAATATGTGATCCCGTGGAAAGACCATTTAGAATTGATTATTCCTTTTTGCTCTGCTGTAGCCAGTGCTGACCTGTTTTTTTCTCAGGAAAGATAGTGCTTTGTGGTATGGAAAAAGGGCAAGGGACCAGACCAATTAACTCCCTGTCCTACTAGGATAGACTCGCTCCAAGTTCTTGACTAGAAAAGTCTAGTGTTAAGATATTCTGTCATGTTTTGTTAGTCAGTGGCTTCTTCAGAAAAACATGTCACTTACAAATAATGCATTTAAAATTTCTAACTTTTCTAACAATTTCTAATAATACAAATAATGTATTTAAAATGAAACTAAATCAATGCCTTTAGTAAACTTCTCAGAACATTAGAATTTACTCTTTTAAAAGAGATTTGAATTTCAAGAATTTACATTTGCAAACGGGCTCATGAAGATAAAGTAGAAAGAATTTGAAATTTGCAGCATGGCGTGGCTAAAGGGTCTGCCACCCATTAGTGTTCAACAATAGTCTTATCTGTGAGGATACTTAGGTTTTGTTACAGTTGTTTTTAAACTTATGACTAACGTCTACTTGGTCTACTTGAGAGTATATAATTTTAGCAGCTTCTGATCAGATTTTATCCATGAAATGAACGACTAATTATGATTCAAGAAGATCTGAAAGTTGTGTGTGTGTGTGTGTGTGTGTTCAGGTTGTGGTGGGTGGGTGAGGAGGAGCAGGAGTGGGATAAACATATTCTTTAAAGGATTAAAATGTTCCAGTCTTCCTCTTACTGAGGCAAATAACGAAGTGCTTCTTCAGTTTTCATTCGTTTAGTCACAGCAGAGTGCCGTGAGCTTTCTTTCAGATAGTTTTGAAATAAGGCTCAGATGTTGAACTGCCAAGATAACTTATCCTGATTACCTAACAAAACTCATGCTGAGCAGATGCAATGCTGGTCAGCATGTTTCTAGTTTTCTCAAAAAAAGGAGGGTTTACAGCTTCTAATGGGGTCTCTGGATGGTGTAAATTGTTAACGTGCTCAGCTGCTAACTGAAAGGTTGGAGGTTCAAGTCCACCCAGAGACACCCTGGTAGAAAGGTCTTGCCATCTACTTCTGAAAAATCCGCCGTTAAAAACATATGGTGCAGAGTTCTACTCCGACACCAATGGGGAAGCCATGAGTTGGAGTCGAATCAGTGGCAACTGGTTGGTTTATTGCTTCTAAGAGGAGAGCCTGAGCCACTGTCTTACATCAGGGTCCTCCACTGGCTTTTAACTGAGGATGCTACTTCCACAAATACAATGCTGCTCTCTGATGGCAATGACAGCAACATGAATGTGTGGTAGTGATAAGGCTTTTAAAGGTCAGTGTCGTCAAGGCTAGCACCCATCAACTAGACTGGAGCTGAGGACCCTCTCAGGACGGCACTGAACATACGGAAAGGACATAAGTGTTCATCTTTGTTTACAGTTCTTCTAATTGCAGTTCTTCTGTCACTAATTCGAAGGCACTAAAATAACTTAAAGAAGAAGAATTACTTGACTTAAAGAGATATAAATAAATCTCACCTTTTGGGATCTACAATTTTGTAGAGTTTTCCATTGTGAGTCTGGGTCATACTTTTACTACTTGATAAAATGTAAACTTCACCTGTTGAAGAGAGAAATATAAGTTAATTCATAGCATCACAAGGCCTTACTTCCTATTGCTTAGCAGATTATATATATTTGTATTTATATATATGTTATGGATTGAATTGTGTTCCCCAAAAAGGTATATTGAACTCCTAACCCCTGAATCTGTGAATGTGACCCTGTTGGGGAACATGTTTTCTTTTTTTATGTTAATGAGGTCATACTAGAGTAGGGTGGGTCCTAAACCTAATCCCTTCTGAGTGGTGTCTTACAATAAAGGAAGACAGACACAGGAGGAAGAAACCATGTGATGATGGAACAGATGCATCTACAAGCCTAGGAATGCCAAGGATTGTCGGCAGCTACTAGAAGCCAAAAAGAAGGACCTTTCCCAAGGATCAACTTCGGTGAAGGAAAGGACAACACACAATACAGGAGAAGTCAACACAATTGGACCAAAGCAAAAGCTAAGAAGTTTCCTGGACACATTCAAACACTTGAGGGACAGAGTAGCTGGGGCTAGGACGTGGGGACCATAGTTTCAGGGGACATCTAGGTCAACTGGCATAACACAGTTTATTAAGAAAATGTTCTACATCCCACTTTGGTGAATGGTGTCTAGGGTCTTAAAAGCTTTCAAGCGGCCATCTAAGATACATCAATTGGTCCCATCCCTCTTGGAGCAAAGGAGAATGAAGAAACCCAAAGACACAAGGAAATATTAGACTAAAGGACTAAACAACCACATGAACCAGAGACCCCACCAACCTGAGACCAGAAGAACTAGATGGTGCTCGGCTACCACCAATGACCGCCCTGACAGGAACACAACAGAGAGTCCCAGACAGAGCAGGAGAAAAATGTAGAACAGAATTCAAATTCACGTAAAAAGACCAGACTTAATGGTCTGAAAGAGACTGGAGGAACCCCCGAAACTACGGCCCCTGGATGCACTGTTAAGCCAGAACTGAAATCATTCCCGAAGCATACTCTTCAGACAAAGATTAGACAGTACCATAAAACAAAAAATAATACACATGAGGAATGTACTTCTTAGTTTAATCAGACATACGAGACCAAATGGGAAGCTCCTGTCCAAAAGCAGGATGAGAAGGCAGGAAGGGACAGGAACTGATCGAATGGACACAGGGAACCCAGGGTGGAGAGGGGGAATGTACTGTTACATTGTAACTAATATAACAGAACAATATGTGTATAAATTTTTATATGAGAAATTAACTTCAGCTATAAACTTTCACCTAAAGCACACACACACACAAAAAAGAGGACCTTTCCCTTGAGCTGATGCCCTGATTTGGACTTTTAGCTTCCTGAATTGTGAGACAATACATTTCTGTTCTTTAAAGCCACTCACTTTGTATTTTGTTATGGCAGCACCAGTAAACTAAGACTACATATATATATACACACACATACAGAGAGAGAGAGAGCAGCTCTAGTGGAGCAGTGGTTAAGTACTTGGCTGTTAACCAAAAGGTTGGTGGTTTGAATTCACCACCCACTCCATGGGAGAAAGATGGGGCAGTCTGCTTCCTTGGAAACCCTATGGGGGTAGTTCTACCTTGTACTATAGGGTCGGAATCGACTTGATGGCAATGAGTATATGTATGTATATATTCATTTACAGGAATCACTTGCCTAAAGATTTATATGAGTTTCACAAGTCAACCCTCACAATGCATCCAGAATACGTCCAGATCCCATCCACTTCTCTCCACATCATCCCACCACTTCTTCAGTGCAGGCAGAGACGATCTCTCACCTGGATTACAGCAACAGGTGCCAACAGCCTCCTAACTGGCCTCCCTGCTTCTACCCTCGTTCTTTTATGTTTAGTCTCAACATACCAGGCACAGTGATTCTTTTAAAGGAAGCAAGATCATACATGTTGGATCACATTCCATTATTTCAAAACCCTCCAGTGGCTTCTCATCTTTTTCAGAGTAAAAGCAAGTCTTGACAGTGGCCTGTGAGGTCTACCCTAACCACTCTGACGTCACCTGGGACTTCTCTCCCCCTTGTTCTCTCCTCTCCAGCCTGACTGGCCTCTTGGGTTTGAACATACGAGTCAGGCTCCTGTTCTAGGCTCTGTCCCAGGCACCTATCCACTAGGTTCAGTCTTTCCTTCTTCCTGTGTGTGCTCAAATGTCACCTTCTCTAACTGTACTATTTAAAATTGCACCTTCCTCAACACCCCAGCAATCTCTAGCCCCCTTTACTGCTAAATTTTTCTCCTAAGTAGTTATAACCAATTGATATATTGTATACATATTTTAAAAACATAATTATTTTTATTATTCTCCATTAGAAGATAAAGTCCAGGAGGGAGGTTTAGATTTTTGTCTCTTTATCTGCAGCTGTGTCCCCAACACCTAGCACAGAGCTTTGTACAGAGCAGGTACTCAACAAATAATTGTAGAATGAATTTTGAATGAATGGACAAGTTTTATCTTGATTTATTTCTGCCCAAGATTGAATGGTTTTGGTAACCAAGTTTTTACTGTTAATTGATAATTTAAGAATTGGGGTACCAAAACCCAAAACCCATTGCCATTGTGTCAATTCTGACTTATAGCGACCCTACAGGACAGAGTAGAGCTGCCCCATGGGAATTCCAAGGAGTGGCTGGTGGATTCAAACTGCCGACCTTTTGGTTAGCAGCCGAACACTGGCCCCATAAAGGTCTAGTGAGGTCCCACTGAGATTTGAACCTGGATCCCTGGATTCAAAGTCCAGAGTGCTAACCATTACAACATTGAGGTAATCCTTTTTAATCTTTAGCTTTTTTCTAATGAAAAACATTGAAATTAATATGGGGGGTAAAAAAGAGAAAGATGCTGATGGTCAATCCCAACTATAACTCTTGGAGCTAGACTATGTGTTCATGATGATAAAAATGTAACAGGTGGAGTACCCTTTTACAAGAGAATCATTCTTGTTTATTACCACTGCTTCCATATAATTCAACATATAGAATGGATCACATGAATAGAGAATTAGAAGCTGTATTTATGATTATGTGCTTACATGCTTTAAAAATCTTCATGACTCTCACTCATAAAAATAGTCCTTAAGTTAGTCTATATTTCTCTATTCTACTCTATTATTATGTATTAAGCACACCTCACTTTTCTACTTCTGAAAAGGATGTTATACGGTTTTCATTAAAAACACAGATATAACAGAAAAAATAACAATGAGGTTAAAAAGAAAAGAAATGCAAGCGGAAGAATTAATATTTATTTTGTCAAGCACTTTACATAGCTTATATCATTTAATCCTCAAAATAAATCCACCCTACTTTTACAGTTAAAAAATAACGAAGATAAAAACAGACACTCAACACTGTTTCAAAAGATGCAAAAACTTTCCTCATTTTCTTATATGGCTTTTCAATTAGAGCCAAGGAGTTTCACAATAAAACCCAATTCAGTGAAAACGTGTCTACTTTTAATTGTGAGGTATACAAAATGTTGTAGTTTTTGGAGCGTAAGGATTGTGTATGTTTTATTTGTTGATTCTGCTCCCAACATTGTATTAAGTATACATACACATTTGGGATATTTTAACTGATGGTGGTGAGCTAATAGGATGATTGATGGTGAGTCATTTGTAGCAAGGTCTGGGGAAATTAAAATGGCTCAGTTACAACATCTTAACATTCATCTCTAACTCCGCCCAAACAATTTAATCCCAATTTATATATTTAAAATCAGATCTGCCAATTAAATTAAAAAATACACTGCAGAAGATTTAAGTGAGAAAGGGTATCTTTCTGATTGCTTTGTTTGAGTAGAGTAGGAGATTGTAAAGGGAAAATTAATTGTAAAATACTTTCAAAGCTGGAATAAGAAGGAAGTAGACTGGACTCCTCTTCTTTAAATCATTATATTTCTGTGGCTCTGAAATATGTTGTATTTCAAGAGTCTTGTCTGAGTCCCTTATTAATCTAAGTGAATGGTCTGGAACTTTTTCTGATGAATTTTCCATTCAATGTGGGGAAACCACATCTAGATGTTCAGAGAAAATATTCTGATTTCTGTAGGAAACATATATTATTTATTATTGCTTGGAAATTCATCTTTGAGGCTAATGGAATATAATAGGCCATGGTTCATTTGGATATTGTTCTTTAAAGGGAATCATTATGAAAGCTACATTTATCTCCGCAACTTAAAATCAATAGCATTTTCACTCTTTGATTATATTCCAATTTTAACTATTTTAAATTGCACTATTTCAATATTTTTGCATGTTAAGTCACATACAACTGATAATATGCAAACACATATATTGTATGTTATCATCAATATATTGCTAGTTTTTAATTTGTTGGAATAGATTATCAGATTTTTTTTTTTTTTTTTAACTCAGATTATCAGATTTTGTTTCCTGAGAGGCAAAAATAAAGAAAAAGAAAGAAAAGAAAAATAGGAAATACAGGGTAAGTTGGGATCCAGATTCCAACAAACTTTTATTTACTCTAAAAGACATGAGTAAAAGGAAAGGTTTTCTGATACAGAATATAAACAAATAGTTTAGGTGCATAGTCAAAAATATCAGTAGATATTGAAAAGATTTCTGTCTCTTCAGGACTCAAAAATTCTCTCTTGTTCCTGCTTTCCATTGCCTTACATTTATCTGCCTTGTAACTTTAGTATTTCTGGAATGCAAACAAGATTTAAAGACCCCACACCCCTGCAGTGAGAAGATACTACCCCAGGGAGAAGACACTAGAAGAGAATACATAACTGGACAATCTTCACTGTAAGAGTAAACTTACACAAAAATGGAGGATGAGATTGTTACAGCAGCAGAGCGAAGCCTCTTGTGCAAGAGAGTGAGAATGGGACTTAATAGAAGTAGTTTGTACAATACCTAATTCATCCTCTCCAAATCCCAAAATGTGACCCGAAAAGTAGCCTCTACACGAACCACCGTTGCCGAGACAGAGTGGTTTTTCTTGCCACTGCTTGGTCCCTGGACTTTGCTGGAGAGTTAAGAAATTCCTACAATGAAAACATACCACGAACCTACAGTGAAAACATGCTTTTGCTTAAAGGCCACAATAAAATCTTCAAACTAAAATTCACATTTAATCACTGTTGTGCCATAGGACCTGGTTCTAGGGGGAAATAACATAGTCCGTAATGTGTGTGAACACTATGAAAATTTCCAGATGGGGAGAAAGTACTTAAAGATAATAGTTTGTTTGGAGGGGGGCACTAAAAGTACCTGAGTATGAGAAAAGCCCTCCCCTTCATCCAGAGAATGATACTTCCTCTCCAGGACTAGACTCCATGCTGTGCTATTAATCAGAGAGAGGGACAGGGGGAAGAGCATGGGGTCAGTACGCTTTTCTAGTTCTTGTTAGCAACCAAGCATATGAGCTGTGCAATATGCCTGAATGCCAGCAACTTGGGAAACAAGATTCTCGTTTGGGCCTTGACACAGATTTTCCTATAATTATCCACAGTGTGACCTCTAAAACGTAGGCTAAAATTTAATTTTGTAATATTCCTACCTATAGAGACAAATTAAGTTCTGTTGCCCAAAGTCCTGGAAATATGGCAAAAATAAAAATTCTTAATCTTCCAAGATGAATTTTTAAATTATTTAATTGACTTATATAAAGCAGTAGCTTTCAAATTACTCATTTCAAAATAAGCTTATGTTAAGGATGAAGGGAAAAACCTAAATATTATGAAAAATTCATTTGAAGACTTTTCTGCCCTTAAAAATTCTTTTATTAACTTCATGAAGCCTTTTTTTAAAAGAGCATCTCTTTGGGAATTCTTCAAATAAACCACCATACATAGTAGACCAAAAGTAAATAATTTCATGTGTGTCCCAGACCTGACTCCCAAGGGGAGACAATCATTTGAATATTTTATGGTAATTTGGCAACCAGTCACTTCGTATATCAAACGGTGACATCAGGAAACATACCCATTGCGGTCTCCAAACACGTAGCTTCCATACAGTCTCTCGGACTGGCACCCTCGGTAAACAAATCCACCAACCAAAGGACCATTACTGAATGGCTTAAATTCTAAAAGTGATGGCTCACTTTCTAGAAAAAACACAAATACAGCATTAGACCAAATGAAACGTATTTTCATAAAGTAGAAGTACAAACCAAGTAACAATTATTAATATTTATTAATTATCGATTTTAACTCTGAAATGCATTGCAAGAGGCAAGAGGTAGAACGTTGCTACAGATATTCAGAGAAAACTTCTCACTTTGCTTCAAAAGTATGGGACGTAAAGGGCCTTCATGCACAGCTTCATGAAATGAGAAGGCTCTGCAGATGTTTACTGTTATTATAATTGCAAAGATATAGCACATTTTCAATGAACTTAAATTAGAATCTTAAAATTTTCGAGGTCATGGTTATTTATTTTAGAACCAAAATACTTTAAAAAAAAGCATTTTGTAGAAATGCTTGTGCATATATTAGTAAATCAAGCCAGAGCTCTCTCAAGTTATAGAAAATGTTTAAAAGTTCATGCTTTAATGAAAATACAAGCATAATACATAAAAGATCTTTAAAATCACATTTATTGTGTATTTACAAATATTAGCACTTAGTCAAGAATTATCTTCATTTAAAATATTTTTATAGTTTTGATTACAGAGTTGTGTGCTTAACAAAGTCTACCCCAATAATTCCCTCTGTGTATGGTCATGTATCTCAATGTTTCCATGCACGTCATCATATACTTGAATATATGCATGCTAATTGCAATGGAAAAGATCTAAAGCCAGTTGCAAATTAATCTGAAAATTGCTTTACGTATTTAATACCAAATAAGTCACTATCAACAGGCAGCATTTTAGGCAAACGCTTTTGTGGAAAGGGGATCATTTTAAAGCCCCCCCCCGCCATGTGATTATGGTAAATATGATATTATAAAAAAGTAGAAAACATAAGAGATGTTTTAAATAACCAGTACACTGTGGGGCAATATAATTGAATGATTAAGGGCACAGACTCTGGAGTCAGACTACTTGGGTTCAAATCCTGACCCTGCTACTTTATGTCGTATGATGCTGCACCTTTCTGTGCCTCAGTTTCCTCATCTGTACAATGTGGCCAGTAAGTGTACCTATCACATGGGTTTGTTCTGGGAATGACATGAGTATAGTTTTATAAAGTGCCTACTACAGGGTCTGGCATGTAATAAGCACCTGGGATATGTTTGTTCAACACATAAATGCAGGGCTATTAATATTGTAACAAATTTCAGCTGAACTTCAGTTAATCTGATCGTAGAATTTTGTTGAATCTATAGATGCAGCCAAAATTCCATTGAGCTAGTGACTCATTAGATTTTTTTTTCAAACCACATTATTCTTTGGTTTGGCTTTTACAAGATGGACACACACACACACACACACACACACAAATACCTGAAAAAAAAAAAAAAGTAATATAACTGAATACCACATGAACTAACACAGCTGCCTCATTTCTGGTGCTAAATAAATATTTGTATTGAGTGAGTAAACAGAAAAGCGATCTATTTAATAATCTTAATCTACTAGGTTCCCTGAATCATAATAGTATTTGCTATATTGATTCCTTTAAAAGGAATAAATATTAAAACACTGAAACATATTAAGTACTTTGGACTTCATTATTATCCAGCTTCATATTCATATGTATCTCTAAATACCCTAGTAATCGACTTATTAAAAATAATGTTTAAATGTCCCATTTCCATGACTTGGGTAAATAACATCTTTTTACTAGTATATTACTTTGTGTTATGTAGAATAAATGCCTTTTTATAAATTACATTCTTATTTGAAACCAGTTATATTTTTCCTAACTTATTGCTGAAAGTTGGGTATTGAGAACTGTCTTACCCTTAACATTTTTGGTTTTTCTCTGTACAAGATTTTCAGATAAGTTCTCCCTTACTATATTAAATAAACAGAGGTTATTCATCTTAATTCTCATGTTAGCAGAGCATAACATTCGAAGGTCTGTTACATTTTTTGTACCTACGGGGCACCATTCAGGGCCTCTTAATCAATCCATAATCCAAAGTAAACCCAAACCCATTGCCATCCAGTCAATTCCTACTCATAGCAACCCTATAGGACAGAGTAGATCTGCCCCATAAGGTTTCCAAGGCTGTAAATCTTTATGGAAGCAGATTGCCACATCTTTCTCCTGTAGAGCGGCTGGTAGGTTTGAACCCCTGACCTTTTGGTTAGCAGCCAAGCATTTAACCACTGTGCCACCAGGGCTCCTATTCAATCCACAGGAAAGGTAATTGGCCACATAGAACCTCAGGGTTTGGAAGAGTAATTGGATCTTTTAAAAGTGAGCAATTTACTCCCTCCTCACTGTTATGTCAGTGTTTTTATGCTTCCCAAATGCTCATTTTGTAGAAATCTTTTCCTTTTCAATTAATATACTAAAATAAAACAATCCTCAAAGTAAAGCAAAATCATCAAATTAAGCTCTACTTACCATAATCTTTCCCCTTTATTATCTGCAGGATTCTGGCTGATGATCTGTTTTTTCCATTGGAGTCTGAACAAAGTATTGTTAAGTTGATGTTTATATCTGTGGGATGACGATCCACTGCACATCTGCATAACAAAAGAGGGTATCTTTCTTTATGATTCCTACCAAGGTATCTCCCAAGCTCAGACTGGAGATTCCTGCCACAGGAACCCTTTGTGGGCTGGCGAGGAGCCTACCGGCTATTCAGTTTGGATCCTCTAGAAAGCGCTGAAGGAAACATCCTAATGTGTTTACTTTGCTGATATTTAATGATCTCTGGAGGATATTTCTTAATTTCTCTTGGTATCTATCTCCCTCCACTATGAATGTGTGCTCTGACTTGAAACATTTGCTAGTGTGTCGTTAAGGAATATCACATGTATAATTCATTGGTAAAGTATTTTGAGTAAGAATCAGTGTGATAACTAACTCACATCTGCAATACACAACAGAATATTGGTTTCGTGTTTCATATATGGAATTGCTGCACTAACAAAGGAAAGCATGCATTCCATTGAGGGAATAAAATAAAGCTGGTCACCACAACCACTGAAGTTCTTTTACAGTGACTCTGTCTTCATTCCCTCCACCCCTAATCTGGGGGCCAAAATATCTCTGTAACTTAAGCCACTGACTCTAAACTCCATGAGGGTAGGGACCACATCCAACTTCTTTATCACTGTATTCCTGTCCTAGTTCAAAGCTGGGAATATAATAACAAAAAAAAAACCCAAACCCATGGCCGTGGAGTAGATTCCGACTCATAGCAACCCTATAGGACAGAGTAGAACTGCCCCATAGGGTTTCCACGGAGCGCCTGGTGGATTCGAACTGCTGAATTTTGGTTAGCAGCCAAACTCTTAACCACTATGCCACCAGGGTTTCCATGGGAATATAACAGGGGCTCAATATTTATTGAATGTTTAAGTTAATGAAGGACTGGGTATGGCGGGGCATGGGTTGGGGAAGTATAAAGTTGAAAAATATGTTTGAAGTTGTTACAAATGTGGAAAAAAGGCTTGCATTGTTTTTCGGTATCTCAGTATTATTGACACTTTGTTGTTGTGTGTCAATTCCGATTTATAGTGACCCCACATGACAGAGTAGAAATGCCCCACAAACTTTTCTTGACTACAGTGTTTATGGACACAGATCATGAGGTCTTTTCTCCTACAAAATGGCTGGTGGGTTCTGGACCACTGACCTTTCAGTTAGCAGCTGAGCGCCTAAACACCATACCACCACGGCTCAGATTCACACGTCAGCCAAAACCCAAACCCCTGTTGCTGTTGAGTAAATGCCGACTCATAGTGACCCATACAACTGGGTAGAACTACCCTATAGGGGTTCCAAGGCTGTAATCTTTAAGGAAGCAGACTGCCACATCTTTCTCCATAAGGCAGCTTTTGGGTTTGAACCACCGACCTTTAGGCTAGCAGCCAACAGCTTAACCATGACACCTTAAACTGAGTATTTCCTTGTTTTGTGGGCCTGTTCTGCATATTGCAGGATTTTTAGCAGATTATGCCAGTAATACCCCTCCCCGAGTTGAGACAACCAAAAATGTCTCCAGACATTGCCACATGCCCCCTGGAGACAAAATCACTCCGCTGAGAATCACTATTTTAGGCCAACAAAATACATCACTTAAAAACCAAACCAAATCAAACCAACCACTAGGGCCATTAAATAAATTTAAAAAATAGAAAAGTAAGTCCTGGGTCTTAAGGGAAATAACAGTCATATGTACCAATTATTTAAATAAAACTCGATGAAACAAAAATTATTGGCTCCCAATTACCCCATTCACGATGAAGAAACTATAAGCCTGGCCTGCCGAACATGGGCTCCTTTTCTTGTGGCAACAGTCACTTTACTGTTTTCGTTAACTCAGTGATTCACAGAGCACAATGCCTGGCAAGGATTGTGACACAGACATGCTGGGACTTAGGACACTGCAAAATCCATGATAGGGTAAGAACTTATCTTTTGTATTACCTTTCTTTTGAAGCCAGGGAAACTATGACAAAAGGAGGTTTGACCTGTTTCCAGTAACTAGAAACAGCCCATCTGGAAGAAAAGGCCAGATCTCCATGAGGTGATGTTGCTGGGGGCCATGAGCTCTAGCTCTGGCTGAATACCAGGTCCACTGAGAACTACTTGACCCCTTTAACCTTTAGTTTCTTATGTATAAAAGGGGGCCAATACCAGCTACCTCAGTGCCACTGAGGGGCATACTAAGATAATTTATGCGGGATACTTAACGCAGTGCCCAGAATCAAGGTGCTGAATAAAAATCAGCTCTGCTTTTAGCCAATAATTATTTCAGTTTCCTTTCTGCTTTATTAAATCTTCCTCTGCTTAAAATACTCTTAGAGGGAGGCAGAATAACAACCACTTTTTTCTGAAGCCCTTTGCGGCCAGAGGAGGTCCGACTTCATGACACAGGCATCCTGCCACACGTACAGTGGGTAAAGCGCCCACTGAACTCTATGTTTTTGCAGTGAGGGTTCAGGACCCCCAGGAAGTTTTCATGAAAGCCCCAGTAGGATTGTGGTGACTCAGGCTGCTCGACTTCAAAGTACTGCTTTGTGGTGGTATCTGTGAGTTCTGAGCTATATGAATGGAATGTGACAGTTTTCTCCACATCCTGAACCCACCTTAAGTATTCCCTGTCGCACAGATTTTAAGATCGGCTGAGATGCCAAAGAGGAAATGAACTGTAGACTTTGACTTTGATGGAGGGGAGATGAAGGGCATGAGGGATTATAAAAATAAAAAGTTTGAGAAATACTCACCTTGCACATAGTGAACACTCAATAAACATTAAATAGCCATAATAACTTAGCTAGTAAATGAATAAACGTGGCCAGATGCTCCTTAGTATAAATAACAGACCGTGGACAGGATGAAGCATTCATCACCGAATTTCTATATTATGCTTCATAGCATTTTATAAATGTATCAAAAATTTCTCATTCCACGTTCTTCTTACTTTTCCTTACTTTATGGTTAATTATAGTATAGCAGACAGTCAACATAAATTCTTTAGTTCTTGTAATTTTTTTCAAGGAAAAAAATCTGTAACATTTATCCCACCTCCTTGGCAAATTGATACTGTACGATCATGGAGCTAGGATGATGAGACATGTAATTGACTTAACACCACCAGGTATCAGACACTGTATTTCCTGCTTAACATATATTTTTATTTAATCATTACAACATCCTTGCAAGGTAGTTATTATCATCCCCATATAAAATATAAGGAAATTAAGATTCAGAGGGAGTTAAGGAGACAAATTAAAAGGTTTATTATCTCTCTCAATTGTTCAGCCTGAAGTCTTATTCATTACACGGGCCTAACAGTGTTAATCTAATAATGTTGTTGTTGTTGTTAGCTACCATCAGGCTAGGCTCAACTCATGGTGACCCCATGCACAACGGAACAAAACGCTGTCATCTCCATGATCAATTGGTGATCAGACCATCGTGATCCATAGGGTTTTTCTTGGCTGATTTTTGGAAGTAGAGCATCAGGCCTTTCCTCCTAGTCCATCTTAGTCTGGAAGCTTAGCTGAAACCTGTTCAGCATCATAGCAACACACAAGCTTCCACAGACAGATGAGTGCACTGGCCAGGAATCAAACCTGGGTCTCCCGCATGGAACGTGAGAATTCTACCACTGAACCACCACTGCTCCCCATTATCTAATAATCACCCAAAATAATTTTAAGGAGAATTTTTCTCCATGAATTTGTCCTTTTGGTTGTCCAATTTGCCTTCTTAATCTAGTTCACACTTTAATGAAAGGGTGTTAAGTACTTACTTGGATAATGACCTGGTGTGATTCTAGAACCACTACACGACCTTAGATCCCACTCTGGCCTGCTTGATGAGCCAGAGACCCTCTTTCTTTTCCCAGTTCCTTAATCCTGGCTTGATCTTAAAGCCTCTCACCTGCCTGGATCGTGGAGCCCGTGGGCAAACACTTCTGGGGGCTGGTTGGTGCTGTTGAAGTGCGGGTTGCTCCTTGGTATGGAATAAGGCACACTGCACATGTCTGTGTCCACATCCAGCCGTAGCACAGAGCCCGTGAAGTCACTGAGAAATTGAGGGACAACAGAAGTGCTTTTGTTTCTATTTTGTATTTCACCCAAACTAAATTTGGTAAGGTTGCTCTACAGGTGAAAGAATCATTCCCTTACTGGAGACAAAATTATTCAAGTTCCAAATTCTATGTTGTGCGAAATGAAACCAGGGGCAGTGGGTTCCAGACAAGTGGCAGCCCCAAGACACTGCCCTATAGAGGCCGAGGATGGTGGGGTCAGTGGTACAATGCCTCGTGCATCGTCCTCTTTATGTTTTGCCAACCCATGTATTTTACACCCTCCAAGAAGCTTGGTAGGATATGTTAGTCCATCATGTAAAGTGTTGTGAGGTAGATATGTTAGTCCATTATGTAAAGCACTGCCAGGTAGCGCGGATGTACCTAGCAGCTGAACAGCAGCTGCTGCACATAAGCGCGAGGTGGTGTTAGCATCTCAGTGCTGAGTACAGGCAGTGGAGCCCGACAGCACAGAGCTACAGAACAGTGACCCATTTATGACATCTCTCAACAGTGACTTTAAAAAACATTACATCAGCACCTTACTGAATTTTTCTTCATTTGATAAATACAGAATTTATATTTTACAACTATAAATTTATGTTTTATAAGTATAAAATTTTACACTCTACAGATGGATCTTCATCTTACAACTGAAAACAAAGTTAAATATTCTATCAACGTGATAAAATTCAAAGACTGTTTCTAACTCGCTGGCTCAGACCCTTTTTTTCCTGGCACTTCAAACCTTTTAACATGAAAAGGAGGCTGGTTGTTGTCATCTTTTACCTTAACCCATCCATTTCTTCCATGTCATCCAGTGTGATCATTCCATCTCCGAGAATGATGTACAAAAAGCCATCGGGGCCAAAGAGCAATTGTCCTCCCAGGTGCTTTCGGTGAAGTTCTGCGACTTCAAGAAACACTCTGGCTGTTCTCAAATCAACTTGATGTGGGTTTTTTCTACATTGTGGGGAGGAGACAATACCATGATTGTTAAAAATGTAAGGTGAGTCCACCAAGAAGTAAATAACACACAAATAGGCAAGAAAACCCCCAACACATAAAGAACAAAACAAATACTTAAGTGGAGCTAATAAAAATTACTAGAAGAAATTATACGATTTTTCAAATTTTGGAAATAGTGTTTAAGCTGAAAGTAAATCCACAAAATGCCAAAGCCATCATTTCCCTCTCTGTTTTCCCTTAAGACACATGATGGGCCTTTAAGCAAGGTGGAGACCATGGTTTAATGACCACCACCTTATGGCTGATCATTTCTAACCCGTAAGTAAAAAAATTGTGAAGAGATGAGGAGAAATAAGATTAAAAAAATGATGCCTCTGCATTTTAGTGATACCTGGATACTGTGTATTCGACAACCCTAAGAATGTGGTCATGGGGCCCGATGGCCCACCGTTCTTGGTTGGTGGTATAAGACACATACAGCTTTCCATTTTTCTTGTAATTGGGATGGAATGCAAGGCTTAGCAGTCCTCTTTCATCTCCTCCCTGTGGTCAAATGAAAAACACAAAGAATTGTGAAGTTAATTATGTTCCTTATTGTGTTTCAACTGGAACCCCAAAAGAGTCTCTTTCTTTCTTCTGGATAATCTTTGCCCAAACTCTTTTCTTCCGTGCCTACTGCACAAAAAAGGATTATAAAACATTTCACTTTGTGGAACTCTTTAAGGGTTAGAACAAGACAATTGTCTTGTGTGGTTATCTATGCACAAGACTCTTATACCACTTTTGTCAAGTGATTTGTGTGTGTAATCTTGGGAGGCTCGAAAGACAAGTTTAAGTGCTGTGGAGAATTCTTTCCTGGGTTACTAGGTTGCTTGTAGTTCATAGAAGACAGATAAAAAGGTTCATAATCAACAGTCACTTCTAATCCAAGTATCCCAAACCTAAAACACAGTGTGGGCTGCCAACTCCCACTGTCTTGGCAATATGTTTAGAAAACAGTTAAATTGCTTGTGTAATATGTAAACCTTTGTTTTACCCCGGAGGCATCCACATCAGTTGTCACAACGATGGTGGTCTGTTCATCATAGCTAGGTAATAAGCAGCCTTGGCCTATCTACATAGAAATGAGGTATTTTTACATGTATCTCTCCCAGCACGGGATTTTTCTTACAGGGCTGGAGAAGTCGGAGGAGAGTTAAAGCCAGGGCTGGCATGGGGTGGGGGAAATACTAGGCAGGAAAGGGAACACTAGGAAATAAAAGAAAAATCCCAAACAACTTTCTTTTGTTATTATATGAATGTCAAGGATTGTATACACTAGGCATGCCAAATGCTGTAACAATTAAAACATCATCATGTTCTTAAATAGAAAGGCATTTTATCTTTATTTTCTGCTAATTCAGCTTGCAGTTTCATGAAATTCAATATGGCCTTAGCATTTGTTTTATCCCACAAGTAGTCTAGGAATTTCTATAATGAAATCAAAGTATCTAAAATGATCTAGATCAGAGACTTAACATTTCATATTCTAGCAAGCTTGTGAGTACTTTCTGGGTAGTCTGCCGAGCTATCTACAACAAGGACATAGAAACTGAACACTGCAACCACTGCTAGTACATCACCTTATAAAGGTTCTGTCATTAAACATTACCACATTCCCTGTGGCAAAAAGCCATGAGAAGAGAAGTTATGCCTTCTGACATGTTAGAGGAGAAAGGAAAAATCCATAATACTACAACTTTTTCACAGATTCCTACGCAATCCTGAAAGCACTCTCAAGCTGTTATCCCCAGGACAGCATGTACTACTAGTGTTGGTGTTCTAAATATCCTATAGATTCGCGAATTTAAAGTTTTAGGCATAAAAGTTCACTTTTAATAAACATTGTTTGATTAGTTTCCTGGGGATAGAAAGCTGTTTTCAGATATATACCACCAAAAAGTGGAAACATTCACGCTTTAAGAATGTATAAATGATAAAGTAGATGCAAAGATCCCAGAACTACCAAATCATTGTTGTTGTTAGGTGCCACAGAGTTGGTTCCGACTCACAGCGACCCTACATACAACGGAACAAAACACTGCCCAGTCCTGCATCATCCATTAGTCAAATCATTAGTCAAATGTAAAACGAATGTGAAAACAGTCAACCTCTTCTTTTGCATAAGACAATATGTTTAATTTAATTTTAATGAAAAAAAAATCTGATTGAAGGGAAAGACTCTAATGACTGATTTATGAATGAGCCCTTTTTTTGGACATAATTGTGATGATTTAAATATTGACTTGCTGTTTTTCTTCTTACATCTTCACTAAATAAACATGTCTTTGCTTTCTTAGAGATGTTAGAAGCTGGAATGTGTAACTAAGATTTTGATTGTAGAGAGGCCTTCACATTTAAACTTCCTTGACGAATTTTAAGAGGAGGCCTAGGGGTGGGATTTAGTTTGTGATTAATTCCTCTACTGAATATATTCCCCTCTGAAGTTCTGAGTGCAGGTTAAGTACTGCATGTCCCCTTCACAAATGTTTGTGTTCCACTATAAGAAGCTTTTGTTAAAAGCAGTTCTTTTGTAGTTTTTAATTTGAAATACAATTTGAGTTGGATAGAAACATAATTTAAAACTCTGCTGATTGATTTTCAGGAATTAGGAATGAAGAATTAATGCATTGTGGAAAGATGGGAAGAGAGATTTAAACAAATCCACAGGTGATAGAGACAATTGTTCCCTTTAGAGATTCACCTATCACATTGGTGAATCTGGGACATTGTGGACACTTACTAAAGTGTTATATATGGAAAATGAATGAGACATTTGAATGACGAGGAAATTTAAAAAAGCAATTAAAAATATCAGTAATTCTGACTTTTTCCAGGTTATAGGATTTACATTTAATTAGTGCATATGATTTCATATTATTTTTCTAGTCAACTTCTAGGTGCAAAGTAGTGTTGTAGTTGCTTTAGAAACATGACTAATTCCTCTTAAGGCATTTTGGAGACTTATTCACTTGCACAACTATATTGATGAAAAAATGTAATGTATTATATAAACACCCTAGAGTATCTCTGGAAATAAGATTTTTACATCATACAGTACAACACAATTCCTAAACGTTCAGAGATTAGGAAGGAGGGATATACTTCAGCTATGTCAAGAGATTAAAGTATCAATAGGCTCACATTTAGCTTGAATTAGCCTTCAGAGATACATTGCCTGTTTAACTGACGTATGTTACTGGAAAATTATTATCTTACTCATAAATGCAAACTTATCCTTGAGGTCTGGGTTATTTTTCAAAGTCTATATGGAGAAGTATGTTGATTGGTCATTGAAAGGTTAACTTTGCACCAGGGTCAGCTGGAAGTCACACTATCAGAAACACCATCAAACATTAAGATCCCCAGGCCTTCTAAGGTTGCTTCAACTCTAGACTTCACCAGGACATTGTTCCAGCCTGAGCACCTGAGTTAGGGCCTTGAGCCTGGGCTGGCCACCAGACCAGATCTCCCAGGCTCCAGTTCTCCCTTTCTATTACCTTAGTCACCTTTATGCCATTTCTGACTATGTTCACAGCCTTGTTTTGATTTAAGTCCCAATCCCAATAGCTCCCTTCTCTTCACTCTGTTTCAAACTCTGATTAACCCAGCCTTAGAGACTCAAGTGGTACAAATGGTTAACACACTCAGCTACTAACTGAAAGGTTGGTGGTTAGAGGCCACCCAGAGGTGCCTTAGAAGAAAGGCATGGTGATTTACTTCTGAAAATCAGCTACTGAAAACCCTATGGAATATAGTTCTACTCTGACACACATGTAGTCACCATGAGTCAGAATCTACTCAACAGCAACTGGTAACTGGTAACAGACCCAGCAGAAAGAATCAACAAAGCCCTGTATCGATGACACTGACTTTTCTTCTCACTTCTTCCTCATCCTTTCCCCTCATTATATGTGCCTTTATCAGAGTATGTGGAATTATAATCATACACTTCTTCCAGAAATATAAAATTATTGAACAATTTCTAGTAAGCACTTGGGGAGAATGAGCATCTAGTGAGTAGCTGAGCCACACTAGCTAAAAAGGGAGAAAAATATATTAATAGAATGGTGAATGGAAGACTTGTGGTCCAGGGAGCTACCAGTTTCAAATAGACATTGACTTCTAAGTTATACTTTTGAGTACTATCAACAAATGTCCAAAATATTCATCTTCACCAATGTGAAAAGTAGTGATTTATACAAAGATTTACAGTACACTTTGTACTTGGTTGTTAATGCTCAAAGTTGGATCATGTGCATCTTGTGCTTCTGGGAATGTGTAACACTGCTAGAACCAAACTAGAAGCCAAATGGGCAACAAGTAATAATACATTAAGGTTTTCTCTCTTTTGTTGATGCTTTTTTATTTTTTTTAATTCACTGGAGGCGGGGCCAAGACGGCAGAGTAGTCAGACATTTCCTGTGGTCCCTCTTACAACAAAGACCCCAAAAAACAAGTGAATCAATTATATATGACAATCTAGGAGCCCTGAACAGCAAAGGCAAAATTGAGGAACTGGACTGAGCGGCAGAGGGAGGGAGAGTTGGTTTGGAAGCAGCGAGGAGTTGCCAGACCTGACCCGGCAGGAGGCAGTGCCCTTCAGGCTAGATTGGCTCGCGTATGCAGTGAGGCAAGCAGTGGCACTTGGGAGGCATATTCCACACAGGGGCAGACCCAGCAGCAGAGTGTCTATTCTGGCATCCAGAACCAGTGAAAAGCAGCGCTCAATTGGCAAAAGATAAGTACTTGCGTCTGGCCTACCGCACAGATCAAAAAACATCCCCTTTGGGAAAAAACTCTCTCCCATATACCTCCCCCCTCCTCATTCTGCACCAGGTCCCGAGCTGGCTTTAGCGACTGCTGAGTCCCCTGGGCTGGAAGTAGGACCCGTCACACACCCTGAGCCATTCTCCCAGCCTTGGAAAGGGAACAAATTAACAAACAGGGGAAAAATAATCTGCTGGCTCCCCTAAGCCGGGAATTCAGGGTACGCACAGATCCTTTGCCTAGGTACAGGTATAATGGGTCCACGGACTTTGAATGACTTTCACCCCTGCATAGACCTGTGTGAGCCCACTTCAACAGGGTAGGCCCTCATTGCCACAGTACAACAGGGTATATACCTGAAGTCTAACTTCAACTGTTTGACCTATATGGTGAAGTGGTAGGTTCGTGATATTTGACACTGCTCTGCCCATTAAGCAGGGTCCTCACCTATGCACATTAAGAGCCCGAGGACTGGTGGCTCCACCCACGCCACCTAGCTACCCGTGACAGGGGTCCAAGAATAAGTGGTGCCCCCCCCACCCCAGTCCTTACAGCCAACAGCATTGGGTGCCCATAGTCTGGCTGCAAAACGCACCCATGTGCCCTAGGAACAGGGACACCCTTTCCTCCCAGACACTCAGGGGCAGCCATCAGCCCCCTGCCTTGCTCAGTGCATGACCCCCTTACTGCAGCCAGATACCTGTGCTTACACCAATCACCCATGCCTGTCTGGG